CGTACAATGAGGAAGCGCGGGCGAGTAACCACCGGCGCCGACGACTGGACAGCTGTGATCCGCCTACCTCCAACACGCTCAGCGCACACTATGTCTCTCGGCTCCATTTTGATGCCCATCTTCGATGCAATTAGCATAGCTGTGTTATTAGGGTTTTCTCCACTTATTTCTGGCAAATTCGAGATTTGTATATCATTTACGAGCAACTCCTGATCACGATCATTTATGTCACTACGCAATTGGGATATTATGTTATCCAATTCTGATGCACCGCTTGGCTGAAACTGTGCCTGCTTTTGAGTTTCAATAACAGCCACCCTCTCCTCCAAATTCGTCAATCGTGCATTTGTGTTGCTTATTGCCGTTCTTATCTCGGATAGGTCATGGCGCATCACTTGAAACTCATGCCGAACAGTATTTAGGAATTCCTCTTTAAAAAGCTTTAACTCAGCCCTGATGTTTATTTGGAACTCCTGTGTTGTTGAGCTGGAACTAGTGTCCATTAAATGGAGATGGCTCTCATCCATAGCGGGTGATGCATGCCCTCGGACCGGCGTATCAGCCCTGTTATCTCGAGGCACGTTTCTTTTGCACTCCGGACAGTGCCAGGGGGTCGCAATCGGGACCGCATCTCTTATGCCCACGCACTGACTATGGTATGAAGACTTACACTTGTCGCATTTAGCGCCCTCTGTCAGCGACATGAATTTACCACAGCCACCGCACTTAGCCATAATGATTGCGAACGTTTCTTGTAATTGATTTAATTAGTTATAAAGATAGTATATAAAGAGCTCAATAGATGGCGTTGTTCTTAAGAAGACGTTTATGGCAGTTTTCAAGGTGATTATATTCTATAGGAACACCATAGACTTATTGCACGGTAGCTGTGTAAGGGCGCACACACACTGGTATATAGTCACTGTTATTTTATATGTATATTTTAGGATTTAGTTTATTTATATTTAAGTTAGGGTACTTTTAGCACAAATTGTTTAGCGTATTTAAGTTTTAAGTTTTTTAATACTTTACACCACACAGACACTCCGGATAATATTGTTACTAATAAGTTGCACCACTATATGTAATCCCGCAATAAATTTGAGTAAATCAGAGGCACGTATTTTATTTACAATCGTAAACAGTACTAGGACTATTTATTATGTATAGAATGGTTGACATCCGTGACGTCACTTGGGACCCACCTGGAGGTGGCGCGCTCCGACGGCCATAGAAGCACATGGCCTCGGACTTGTGGAGCGCCACCTCGAGTCCCAACTGCCGGATCCTTGCAACGACTGTCGCAACCGCTTGTGACATCAGGTCGGCCGCCGCCTGATGCGACCTCCCGTTCGCCAGCACCAGCGTGTCGTCAGCATAACAGACAATGCTGACGCCGCTCGGGAGGTCGGTGCGTAGCACCCAATCGTACCCGATGTTCCACAGGAGAGGTCCCAGGACCGATCCCTGTGGGACACCGCGCGACACCTCTCGCCGATTCCACACGCCCCGATGACCGGGGTAGATGACGCATCTGTCCGTCAAGTAAGCCTCGACTACACGACGGAGATAGGCAGGCACCCGGTGATACCGGAGTGCCTCCAAAATGCAGCTCCAGGGCAGCGAGTTAAAGGCGTTGGCGATGTCCAGAGACACCGCCACGACGACTCGCCTCCCGGCCAACGCTGTCCCCGTCGTGAGGTCCCTCACGCGCATGATGGCGTCCACCGTGGAGCGCCCTCTGCGGAAGCCGAACTGGCCGTCCGCTAAATCCGGCCCCCTTCCAGACAGGTGCCCGACGAGGCGGTCTGAGATTATCCTCTCGAACAGCTTTCCCACCTCGTCGAGCAGCACAATGGGCCGGTACGCGGACGGGGAGTCCGCAGGACGCCCCGGCTTCTTCACGAGGACCAGTTTACCCGTCTTCCACGACAGCGGAAACTGGCCTCTCTCCAAACATGCGCTGAACAGACCAAGTAGTCGAGGCCTGAGAGCCTCCGAGGCCAGGACCCAGACCTTGGCATGCAGCCCGTCAGGTCCTGGGGCGGTATTCTTGCCGCTCAGCCGGCGCACCGCCACTCTCAAATCTACCTCGGTCACTTCCGGAGCGGATTCGTCGTCGTCGTCGATGTAGCCCGCATTGGGCACCGCAGGGGGCGGGGGCATAGCCGGAGGCGTGTAACCCATCTGTGGTCGGGGGAATAGCGCCCCAACCACTTCGTCCACGACCTCCGGCCGGAGACTCTGAGTCAGTGGGGGCGCCCAGGTGCGGAGCTTATCACGCACCATCCGGTAGGGGCGTCCCCAGGGGTCTCTGTTCAGAGTCTCCAACATCTCCTCGCGGGCCCGATCTTTGGCCCGCCGGATCTCCACCCTGAGGGTGGCCTTCGCCGCCCTGTACTCCTCGTATAGCTCCGCCTCTCTGGTTTCAGCGTCCAGAGGGCGGAGACGGAGCCTGCGGTGCCTGGTGTATCGGCGTCGCGCTGCGGTGCACTCACCGCGCAGGTCTGCCAATTCCTGCGACCACCAATACACCTGGCGCTTGCGTTGGCACGGTCGGATCCGGGGCATCGCCACGTCGCACATCCTTGACATGGCGTCCTGGAGCCATCTCGCCTCCTCGTTAATGTCGGCTGGCCTGACCGGTGGTATCACCCAGGCCTGCACGACTGCGGCTTCCAGGAAAAGCTCCCGGTCCAGTTGCCTAAGCGCCCAACGCGGGCCACACGGGGCCTGTCTGACTGGCGGGTCTGCGGACTGGGCGGAGACGTCGAACCGTATATACCGGTGGTCCGAAAACGTCTCCACCTCCTCCATGACGCGCCAGTCAACAACGCGCGATGACAGAGCGGGGCTAGCAAACGAAATGTCCACCACTGACTCGCCCCGCATCCGTACGCACGTGGGGACAGAACCCCGGTTCAGCACGACTAGGCCTGTCTCCAGAGCCCAGTCTTCGACCATCCTTCCCCGGACATCAGTGAGCCGGGAACCCCAAGCCAAATTCTTGGCATTGAAGTCCCCGAGGACCAACACGGGGAGGGGACGGAACCCGACGACGACGGTGACTAACTCCCTGAGGGAGTTGTGGAACTCGACGAGAGTTCGGTTCGGAGAGAAGTACACGCCCACCACGGCGATCTCTCCGAACCGAGCCGCGACGCAACCCCTGCCTCGCTGAGGCCCTTCGGGGGTTGGGGTACCGGCGGCGGCCGACGAGATGATGGTCACCGAGCCGTCCAGGTCTGACACCCAGTGTTCCCTGGCTGGAACGAAGTACGGCTCGGAGACCACAGCAACATTGATCGACCACTGCGCCATGCTCTGGAGCAGGAGATCCTGAGCAGCGACGCAGTGGTTGATGTTCGCCTGGAGGAGGCGTAATGGAGCCATTATTGGGTATCCATCACGACCTCCTCTCTGACGGCAGCGGCGACAGCAGCAGTCGCAGGGGTGTTGGCGACTGCGGCGGCAGCGGGGGCGACGGTGGGAGCGGTGGAGGTGGCTACGGGCCTACCTTTGCTCCTGGGCTTGGTGGGGGGGGAGCAGGTTTTGCCCCCAGCCCGGTGATCGGCCGGCTTGCCAGCCGCCGCACATACTACGCAGTGCGGCGGGGCGGTACAAGCGCCGGCCCTGTGACCGGGCTGACCGCAGCGGAAGCAGCGGTCGCTGCGGTCCACCTCTGAGGTGCACTTGGCACCCACATGGTGACCAATGAGGCAGCGGAAGCACCTCAAAGGTCGGGGTTCCAGCAGCTTCACCTGCGCCGAAACCCAGCCACCCCACGGTCCGCAGCCCCGTATTGTCCGGGCGGATGGTGCCTGCCTTCACCTGATCAGCAGGGCACCCCCCCGTCCTTGCGACAGCGGCCGCCACCTCGTTCTCCGTCACGGAGTCATCCAGGCCCATGATGCGTAGCTCCAAGCATTTGGTGGGCCTGGACACGCGAGCCTCATCCGCCGCAAGGCACGTCCTGAGCCTCTCGGCAAGGGCGTCAGCGGATGGGCCGCTGGCCGCGCCGGGGACCTCCAGAAGACGGGCTCCAGTCGCGGTGACCCTTACCGCGAACCCGTTAGGGGCCCCGAACTCCGCGGGAGTAACCGTCCCCTTCAATTTGGCGAGGACGTCGCCGTATGTCACCCCCTTCTTAGCCGCGTCCGGCTGTAGCGTGATAACTACAGCCGAAGATTTAGGGGTGAGGAGCATTGCCGCAGCGCGCTTCTCTTTGCGTCGCTGCTGCCGCCGCTGCCGCTGCTCCTTCTTGCGGCGCTTCCTCGCCTCTTTGGCGCTCCTTCTCGCCTGCCCGGCCACCTGCCACTCGTCGCCATCGGTGCGCAGCTCTGATAGCGGGGTTGGGGCTGCAACGGCTGGAATTTCAGCTGCTGCGCCTCTTCGCTTGCGGCTATTTGGTGCCAGAGGCACAGCAGGAGCCGGTGCCGGTTGGGCCATAGGCGTCCTCGTCAGCGGCGGGGCTCTCGGTGGTTTCGCCGCAGGGGGCACTTTCGCCCTTTTCTCCACCGGAGCGTCTGCTCTGACGCCGCGGCTAGGTGGCTGCTTCGTCTTCGCTGCCGCGGCTGCATAAGTGCCAGTTGCGAGCGGGGGTCGAAGGAGCCTACCCTCCAGAGCGTCGAAACGCTGCTGGAAGGCGGCCATCTCCTGCCGCATGAGGCCAAGAAGGTCGGCCTCCACTGGCTGCGAGGGTTGGGGACGACCCGCGCGAGCAGCGGCGAGTTCCGCCTTTGCTGCACGAAGTTCCGCCTCCAGGGCAGAGTTCGCAGCCGCTAATCGGGCCAGCTCGCGCCTCATTCCGGCCATCTCTTTTTGCAGAGCGGTCATCTGCCGCTCTGCTGAGCCCTTCTGGGATACCGCCGACATTATTGCGGCCTCCGCGTGCTTAAGCACTCCGTTCCTGCCAGCCTGGGTTTTTTGCCCAGCCAGCATGCGGAGTGCTTCCTTAACCTGGAGGCGGAGGCTCTCAGCGCCGCCTGCAGAATCCTCACCTCCGGACACCTCCATCTCCGAGGAGTCCGAGGGGGCAGCCTTTCCCAGGGCGCTCCCCTCCGCTGCCAGCCGCTCTGCCGGCTCAGAGCGGCTCCCAGCCGCTCTTGTGGAGCCCTTCCCCTTGCCCCTACCCCGCGCAGCCGTGGGGATTTTGGGGGCTGGGGCCTCCTGCTCGATGGAGGACGGCTCTCGGCCATCCTCCAACCTGGGACGTTTGAAAACGCCCCGGTCTTTTTTGTGGCGCAGCGCGATGCTGACGCCAGACAATGATGAGTCGGACTCTGAGTCCGACTCCTTCCTCCCCGGGGCCCGTGCCCGAGACTTGCTGGACGGGGCCAGCGCCTCCCCACGAACCCGAGAGCCAACCTGGCCCTCGCTATCGCCTCCAAGCGAGCTGACCTCGCTTGCCTTCTCCTCACCGGTAGGTGGATTTTTATTATTTTTGTGTTTAGACATCTCCATTGAAGTCCCACGAGTATGGGGGAAATAAGAGGTCCGCCCAGGGAGAGCCCCCTGTCCCTGGGTAAGTGTGCATTTGTCTCCCAACTAGGGGGTCCACCGGTCCCCTAGCTGGGGGTGCGCTCACGACTGATCCTACTCCTCAGCCATACATACCCTCGCCGCGCACCAGAACTTAGTATTGGAGGAATTTTTTATAGAGGTTATCTTCCTCGCGGTCCGGGCGGTTAAGCCAAGACCCTCGTCCCGGTCCGAGTCATAAAACATGACCATGATCTCTTCCCGGATTACGATATCGACGGGTGCAGTCGGGCGCAGCTAGTGCCCCGATGCTACTCATTGGCAGGGTGAGTGCACAACGAGCGCCGCCCTTGTTTCTCCGCCCCGCTCTCTGCTAGGTCCAGAGAGTCGTGCGGAGGAACGCCCCCACGGAGGCGTAGACTCTATGCCAGCATAGAGCCGGTCGCCTCTAGAACCCGACCGGGTTCTCCGCCCGGCCAGAAGTTCGCTGCGGGCGACAGTCAAACCAACCCTGTCACCATCCCGTTAGGGAGACTGTCGCCCGCACCCAGGGTGCACCACGGGGAGGTCTTCTGGCACGCACCCCGCCTAGTCAAAAGTCTAGGGCGCAAAGTAACGTTGACTTTTTAGATATTCTTGAAAATCTGGAGTCTGGAATAAATAATATGCGTGGCGTGTGGTTATGTTCGTAGAATTGGCTCCGTGTATACAACTTAGTACAACTCAGCATCCTCATTCGGTTTTTTTTCTATTTTATTTATTTTACACGTCGGTTATAACAGGTAACAATAGACGTATGTACAATTTTTCATACAGTACATTATTTTGCACAGATTGCTATACAAGCGTTGATAATCATCAGTGATCGGAGTAGGTAGATTGAAATGGGGTCATTGATCCGAAACGTAAATATTTACGAAAATATTTAAATTTAAGTGCAACAATTTATGTCTATATCTGTAAAGTTCAAGCCATAGAAGGCCTAAAAATAAAAAAAATAATTAAAGCTTCGATCGGAATTCGATTGTTTTTATTATTCAACAGATAAATAATGAATTTATTTAGTTTTGATAACTTCCTTTAAATTTTGAATTGAGTAGAAATAATATCACTACCAACATAATTAAACAATATTTAATTGAATCCGGAAATACCAGAATTACTTTCAGGGAAAATGGCTTATCCATGTTATTCTTTCTGTGTGCATTTATGATACAAGTACCAAAATCATTCTACCTACTCCGATCTATGGTAAACATACGGTAATGTAAGCAAAATTATAAAATTATTACAAGAAAACAAAAGTGTAGTACCTTTTTTTTACATTGTGATATTGAACATGTGCATTAAAGAGTACAATTAAAAATTGGAAGCTAGATTACATTCAAGTGTGGGAGAGCCATGCTTCGGCACAAATGGGTCGGCTCGACCGGAGTGATACCACGGCCTCACAGAAAACTGGCCTGAAATAACCACAGCGTTGTGTTTCGTTGTGTGAGTGAGGTTACCGGAGGCCCAATCCTTCCCCTCCCCCAATCCCAAAATCTCCAAATCCCTAATCCCAAAAAGGTCGGCAATGCACTCGTAACTCCTCTGTTGCGAGTGTCCATGGGCGGCGCTGATTGCTTACCATCAGGTAATCCGTCTGCTCGTTTGCAAACCTATTACATAAAAAAACAATAATTAATTAATGAAATAAAGAGACAACATTAGTGATAGGGTACGGTATGATACTACACAACACCAAGATTTACTCAGAAAATAATTTACACAAACCAGCCGCCTGGTTCTTACTACTCGATGTTATGTAACGGCCTTGTACCCATATCAAATTAACTGTCATAAACTAAATTACTATATCAAATAATAAAATTAATCAGGAGTTGTTAAATAAATCAATTATTCAAATATAGGTAGGTATCTAAGCAATTTATTCAGTTAGCGTTATTTATGAGGTGGGGTATGGGGATAGGCTTAGTAAAGGATGGATCAGCTCAAAGTACGGGTTTATCAGCGTTATCTATGGGACCCATGCAGTACCCGCATCATTATAGGAATAATAAATACAATAATATAGATTTTTTTGTGTTATTAGAGACATATTAATTAAATTATAACAATATTTTAAGTGTCGAGGAGTTCGACTAGTTTCAAGCTACACTAAGGGCTCATATCCATGCAGCATTACACGACACGAGTTGCGGCAAACGCAAGTAAAGTGTCGTAAGTACGAATTTACTTTCATTTGTTTTATAATTATTATAAACGTTACACTTTTTATTATTCCCGAATGAGTTGACATAATTGGACTAGCCTTGGTCATTTTTATTAGCTAGTCAACCTTTAGGTGGTGCTGTGTGAATAACTATGGTTGATACAACCAAACGAATAACGTCTAAATAGATACCTACATAATTATGCCTGTTCTGTTTGTCAAAAGTTATAATAATACAGACACAATTTTATGGCAACCAACAGCATGTTATTCATTTTTATATACATATAGGCTGTAAATATGTATCTAATTAAGTTTACCTACATTTCAGTAAGCCTTTTGCCAACTATAGAGATACCGAGAAAATGTCTTAAATCGAAAAATTATCAAAAAAATGTCACCACTACTCAAACACACACACCGATACACTCCTACAAATAGGTTTTAATGATAAGGTATTAAGTAATAGTTAAAACTTAAAAACTATTCATATTTTATATTATTACGAGTAAGTTATGGAAGAGCAGAGTCTCCTAACACTGGCTTTATTTGCTTAAAAGGAGGCTCCAATCACAAACCTTCGTTAGAAAAATAAATTGGTTAATAAATTTCGGAAAAACTAGCCCCTCTAGCTACCTATCTTTGACGGGGCCCTATAAGGCTGATGTTCAGCCGGGGTTGCGGGGTCAGCGCAATGAGTCACCGTGGCCTCGGCCTAGAGCAGGAGAAGGAACGGGGGGGTTTTTAGTCAGTAAGAGTCTGACACTCTCTCTCGCCTAACCCTGGGCCAGAGAAGTCATTTGATGATTTTCCCCTGACAAAAAAAGCCACCTATACTTTTTCAAAATCTAATTATTAATGTAGAACACTTTATACCATACAAGCTTAATATTCAAACACTATTACCCTAAGTTATCCTCAAACAACTGAAAGTGACGCATTTGACCTTTACCTAGATTTTAATGTAATGTATTTTACTAGGAATCACTCCAATTGCCCATATCGTTTCAATCAATCACTTAAATACATATTTTATGTTGTAACATATTGTAAGTTGAAAAACTGTACAGGAATGTTTTATGTATTAATTGCCTTAGTAAAAATCCTTAACATATATGTATGTATATATTAAAGAGTCCTATAAAAAACCCCGCCATCTTTGAATTGGTTAGAAAAAAAGAATAATAAATAAATATGATACTTTGATCTACTTGATGTTTTATTGTTTAAAATACGATGGTTATAAATGGATTAATTTCATGTATTCTGTAACTTTTGGATGAGATGATTTGAGGAATGAGAAACATCCATATACACTCACATACATATGTGTATGTACAATTATATACTTTACTACCAATTTCCTCGTAAAACACATAGAACTTACAAATACACATTACATTTGAATTATTGTGAATGTACATATTATGTATATTTAAAATGCCTTTTGCTTTGAGAGAGAGTTGACTTTATCGTCGGAATAATAAATGACCGATTCACCCCAATTTAATCAAAGAAAATTTGAACTGTCATACAAGGCGAGTAAGTTAAAATTACTACGTATAAATAAACTACATAAAATATTCGTTAAGAATGACCCGTGACTTTGGCCCGCAGTTATATTATCAAAATGCATGAAAAATTAATGATTTCAGTCACGAACGCTTTCCGCTGAAAGCGGTCGTCATAGTGATGAATAATGAATTTCCACTGAAATAAAATATTGTATATTCCTTTTTTTTTTTCTGAGATGAGTTTTTCGCGTAAATTGGCCAAGGACGTTCACGGACACGTTGTCGTGTCGTTTAATATAAATTGGTAATTGGATACTCGGTAGCGTTATTTAAAAATACCTTGTTAGGCTCAATATTGGAGTAATAATAATATTTCTGACGACCTTTTAATTTTGGCCGTTGGTAAAATGTGTTTACAATATTAATTAGTATTTTTTGATACGGCTTCGTCCATCGTCTTACGAAAATGAGTACTCCAGAGGAGTAAAGAATGATTTACTGGCCATTTAAGCGATTTAAGGTCATTAAGTCAAAACGGGACTTTATTCAGAAGCACGTGAGCAATTTGCGCAACTGACGAAATTATCGTAAGATCGATATTTAAAAAGTTAACATTAAGATTTTTATTATATTAGGTACTACTAGCTGACCCGGCAAACTTCGTAGCGCCTCAAATATAACTATTTTTTTTTATTTTCTGACCTTCTGAACCTTCCCTGTATATCCATGAATGATTGATTTAAGCGAGACTATCGAACACTAATTCATTTTTATATATTATAAGATTTTTACCAACAAAGGTCAGTCTGAAAGGGAGTGGGTGCTAAAGTATTAGTACACAAACAACAGAATGGGTATCACTTACTATATAATTCCATGACAGTATTAACATAGAGGAAAAACGAAATTTTCCATGATAGATGGTCCTTTGTCAAATTTGACAGTCCCCAACTACTTATAAGTTATTATCAAAATGCATGCTATCATGTGTTTATAGGGGGATTTCAAAACCAAAATATCATTTTTGGTTTTATTAACTGACGTATCGGTTAGCCGTCACGAATATAGAAAACAAACTAAGGCTTTTATAAAATTTTGGTTAGGAAGTGAAATAACACTGTAACATAAAAAGAAATATCTAAAGCCTAGGTTAATTGGCTAGAATATTTAAAACAATATTCTAGTATCTCTATGAAAAATGTATACAAATTAATCACTTCATTATTTATGGATTAAAATTGCCTTCT